GTTTATCTACACAGCCCCGTTTTTGTACATGGACAGTTGTATGTGGCTTTGACTAGGGTGCGTCATGCAGATGGTCTCAGAGTATACATTGCGGACAATGGCGATCAGGGCGAGGCTGACAACAACATAGTGTATACAAGGAATGTAGTGTATAATGAACCGTTACATTGAATTAGAAGTAATTTAAAATTTCAATTAATAATTGAATTGGGAATAATAAAACAGCACAAATGATACTCAATATAGCAAACCTTTACTTTTAAACAAAATTCCTATTTATAATCTGTTAGAACGAAATAATCGTAGTATTATATTAATACTAGTAATAAATTAACAACAAATAGTAATATTGGCAATACTATCAACGTTGTATTATTAGTACTAGTACATCATTACCAATATATTTTATTATTAAGGCACCTGCTATCCCCAACCATATTATTATTAGGATACCTGCTATTACCAATATATATCATTATTTAACCATTTATTAACCACATTAAACCCTATCTAGCACCCCTTTCAATAAAAACACCATCCTATTCCTTGCTCCACAACCCCCTCTTATAATCCTCAACCGTGCCCCTGAAGTACCTGAGCCCTCCATCCACAACATACAAATCTGTAAAAAGGCCATTCACAAACCAAAGATCGTGGCTCACACAAACAACCGCGCCCTTATACTCCCTAATAGCATTCCTAAGCGCAACAATACTTCCAATATCAAGATGATTCGTAGGTTCATCAAGCAGCAGCAAATCGGGATTGTCTAGGCTTAGCTTGGCAAGCATCAGCCTAGTTTTCTGTCCACCGGAGAGTGACGATACGAACTGATAGTCTTTCTTGAGGTTGAGGGATGCAAGCACTGCACGCACGGCCGATTCAGGCTGCCGCGTGCTTGTGAGCAGGTATGGTAGTACGCGCTCGGTGGGCGCAAAATTGTGTGCGTGATGCTGGGAGAAGTACGAGATTTTAAGACTCGGATGGCGGCTCACGCTCGTGCTGTGCAGCAACGTTTTGAGCAGCGTAGACTTTCCGGCCCCGTTCGGACCGACCACAAGAATTTTGGAGTCTCCCTTGATTATCATGTTCAGATTCTTAAAGATGTACGGGTTGTGTGGTGTGCAGCTGCAGTTCGTACTTCTGCTGTGTGAGTCACCGCCATAGCGCACGTCCACGCCCTCAGCCCTCACAATCTCGCCCTTCATTCCTCCCGCTATACGCACCACAATCTGCCTGTCAGCATTTTCGAGCTGCACCGTGTCCATCCGTGCCATTGTCTTAAGCCGGCTCTGCACCATTCCTGCCCGTTTAGCATTGCACCTGAACCTGTCCACGAACAGTTGCATTCTTCTACGCGTGTCCTCGTTCTTTTCATACTCGCGTTCTGCGTTTGCACGTTCAAGCGCTGCAAGCCGCTCATACTCGTCATAATTGCCCTTGTACACCCGCAGACCGTCCTTCATTCTGATTATGAACTTGCACGTGCTGTTCAGGAACGCTATGTCATGCGATACTACAAGGACAGTCTTGTTGGTCTTGGCGAGTGCTCGTTCTAAAAAGTCTATGGAGGGCAGATCGAGCATGTTGGTAGGTTCGTCGAGCAGCAGCAGATTGGTAGGCGAGAGCAGCGCCTTAAGAAGCGCAAGCTTCTTCTGCCAGCCACCGCTAAGCTCACACACATACTTCGTAAGCTCCTTAAAACCAAACTGCACCAGCATTTTGGTAGCCTCGCACTCATCATACTCCTTCAGATACTCCTTTACGGTGATACGTGCTGCGTTGTCGACAGCTGCGCAGCGCGTACCATCGCACGCAGGTGCTGCGCTCGTCCATGCGCTCTCCTGTCGCACCAAGTACGTGCTCGTAAACGCCCTGTTCTTCAACCACCTCAACAACGTGCTCTTGCCCACGCCGTTGGTACCTACCAGCCCGTACACGAGTCCCCGTCTCAGGCACAGCGAGCCATCCTTGAGCAGCGTGCGCCCGTCCACGTGCAAGTCTATGTTATCTATTTTTATGTCGGTGTACGGCCCGTCCACCATCACCATGTCATTGCTTGTTTGCTCTTCTACAGCATACGTGTCTGCAATTGGTACTTTTTTTGAAGTGATAGAACGATTTACATGAAGCGATACAGGCGTATCCAGAGGTAAAGGCTCGTCCTTCTCCAGCAGAGGGATGTTTATGTGCGAAAAGTACGCTGAGAGTGCATGCTGTACTTCCTCATTGTCTGTAAACGGGTAGTTCAGCAAATTCTTTAGATACTCCTTTAACATCGAAGGGTTAATAAAATTATTGATCTTGGCAGGAGGTGCCATGAATCAATGGTGGTATAAAATTAGTGAATAAAATATTAAATTGATATTATAATAAATTAATAATTTAGAAATTATCATTATGAAGTAATGTTAATACGATTTAATAATTATTATTAATAACCTATCAATACAATTTAATAGATTATGGCCTAGAAAGTAATTACAATATGTTTTATTATTTAGAGAATGGTCTGTTATTTAATACATTATAACTAATCATAGTACGTATAATAACATTATCAGTATTTGATGAACTGTGGTTTATTCTAACAATGAATGAAAAGATTTTTTTAAGCATAAATGGTTGTTCATGCACTTGTAACTACAAACGATTTAATTGCGTAGAATTAGTGTATAAGTGTACTGAGTACGTCTCATAATCTGAATTAATGTAGTATAAAATGGTATACTCATAAATAAATGGTAATTGTAACTAAAACCTCTTCTCAGCGTATATGTTCAACAATGCATAAATAAAATAATTATAAAAGATAGAAATTAATTATACAATGCATAAACAGTAATTAATCTTTGCTGTATCCATCCACAAAAATACGTTCATTTGTTCATCACAGAGACACCCCAAAAACAAATGCACATAAAAATAAAATCTCTTATAGGCGTAGAAAAACAGATAGAAATTGAAGAGAAAGCAACCGTACTATCGCTGAAACAGCAAATAGAAATGCTGGAGACGATACCACCCGAACAGCAGAGGTTGATCTATTCGGGAAAGATTTTGACGGATGATGGAAAGATTCTGAGCGATTATAATGTTAATGATGGGTGTGTGGTGCAAATGGTATTGGCTCTGCGTGGTGGATAAAAATGTTTAAATAAATACGTGTGCAAAGCAAAAGAAAGATCTGTAGGAACGTTTTAAATAAAAAGACATGTGGTTTAATACAAAATTTAGAGTGAATTCGTAGTTATTTGCCTTTTTTCTTTAAAATTATCATGCTTTGTCGTTATTTCGAAAAGTAGTGTGAGGGGGATTCGAACCCCCGCCTTCGAGAAGACTGGAGCCTAATTCCAGCGCCTTAGACCGCTCGGCCATCACACCTTACTCATGAATAAAAAAAGAGATACTTAAAGATAAAACAATATATTGTCACATTTATACGATTTTATTGGCGTTTCAAAGAACACTGGGCAGTTAAAGTTAAAATTTTTAGAAAATACAAAATACTTTTTACCAATTAACATTCAATATTTTATGTTTAGTGCAGGATGATTGCCCTCATTACGCTGAACCAGCTGCATTCAATCCAAGATGCTTATCGAAACACACCAGTCATCTCATAATACAAGCATATGAACAGTACAAACACATATAATTTTATAATTTAAAACTCTCTTTAATCTAATCATGTACCCGTGATGCACGCTTAGCCAATCCTTATTCATAGATTAATTCCTTTGCTCGTTCTTCTCTTATAAAAGAAGTTTTTAATGAGCATATGTAGATACATAACGATTAGGATAACAAAAAGGATTATAAAATAGAGCAGGTAATCAGTTGCGGAATACTCCCGTTCCTTGGGCATTAGTGTCATCCCATTTGGTTATTTATTTGTTTTTATAATGAATATTGATCTAACACAAAACGTTTTAAAAATAGCTTTTGATAATAATTGTCCTTGAATGCTGCTACCACATAACAATTTGAGGTTTTTTGTTTAATTTGTATTATCGTTATTTGTTAAGAGGAAACGTCTCAAAATACTTTACATACTTTTTAGATAATTTTGATTTTTAACGCATTTAACTGTCATAAACCAAGTCTTTATTTATCATGTCCAACATGAAGGTCAGACTAATTATCATATTTTTAGCACGATGGTAATGTTGTATGAACACTACGACATTAACAATTACAGGACACGAATATGTAATAATAATGTACCAACCGTTTTACCAATGCCTTTCAGATTAGTATCAAAGTAGTATGATGGTAAGTTTGCACCCGGAATTGTAATATAACTGTTTATCTCGTGTTGACCAACATATCTGTTCCGTTTTTGGAATTAAGTTTAATTACAATTTTTGTAACTTTAAATTACAGGCAACATATTCGACCATGTTCTGTAAACCGTAAGATTCATATTCTATACATATACAGTGCCTTATATCTTACAATCTGCGATGAGCTCGAACAATGAATACGCCATATAAGAAAGATGTAGTAACGGACTTAATCCTTATGGTTGGCTGCTCTCTCGCAAGAAATCCATTCTGTAGTATTACGTGTAGATAGCTGTTATATTTACCTCTACGTTCAATTTGCTTTTTGATATCTCAACTTATCAGGTCCATAGTACTTTCTTTTGATTAATGTTTTGTATTCCTATGCGCACTCATTTGAATCGCAGGTCCTGTGTATTTCACGTTTATTACCATGATAACTGGCTGATATTGTTGTGCGGTCCTCTTTTCCTTCAACTTTTTTAGTTTTTATCATTTCTTTTCATAGTCAGCTGATACCTATTAAGGATGACACAGTCAAATTACTGCAAATGTAATAAACTAAATCTTTATTTTTGTATACTTTATTGGTACTAGTCTTTGGTTGTAAAATAAGAACTGATAACGTTTTTATCGCTGTATAGTTACGCGTTATACTTCTTTATTATGTATAACCTGTATAATATATGATGATATTCAAATATAAGTTAGTTCTGGAGTAACATTTCCATCTGTAATTAATATGACAGATAAATTGTCCTACTTTTAAAAAATTTTGTCTCCAAACTAAATATTACAAATAACATTGTGCGTATGATTGTTGTAAAATGAATCTTTATTTATATCTGTCATAATATTTAAGATATTTATTATATTTGATATGATATTGGTTGTATTCTAGACGCACTACTACATTAAAATTGAAACACTGTAAATGTAATGATAACCAAAAAACGATTTGGCACGAAAGGTGTTTATTTCCTCGGCATGAATGAGAAAATATTCCATAAAACATAATTTGCGTTTATTTGTATTTTATTTTCCAATAAAAACACTAATATCTTAGTAAAAAGCACTTTGATAAAAAAATAAGATTGATATCTGTTACATATCATACATATCAACACTAAAAATATAATCATGTGTTATTCAACTACATATAAATAGATGTATGTTTAACGAACGTTAAAAATCTTTTTAACTAATACATTAATAGTTAAATACATAATTTCTCAGTATTAATAACATGGTGCTGATCGTTGAAGCTAATAATGACACATACAAAGTACATATAAATTAAGGTGATGAATCGACAATTAGGGAAGCAAACAAAATACGAATGTATAAATAGTTTTCAAAACTAAGAGACCATGTCGGTCAAAGATCTTATAAAATTCTTTGAAGCTATGTCGGCTGAGGAACCGACGATACGGGGAGTTTTACCCGTATCAAACAACCTCAAAAGGCTCGAAAACAACGAGCCGGCCGTGGCAACAAAGCATGCCACGGCAAAAAAACAAAATAAGACGGCTGAAAAGCCGAAAAACGAGCAGCTACTTGATATCAACAAGTATGCTCGAAAGGTGCCAACACCCCATCTAACGGGTGTGCAATGGCTTAACCTGCGCGGATTCGCGCACAAAATAAAAATGAAAAGAGTGGCAGAGCGAAACAAAAGGGAAGGCAAACCACCGCCTGATCCGCACGAAAATGAAAGTGGATTCGATAAATTTGTACGAGGGCTTCAGGAGAGAATACGACAGAAGGGCAGGGAACCAAAAACGGTACTGAGAAATAGATGTTGTGACGATACTTATTCTGACTTGGATGCTTTGGTGAGAGAAGCAAATTCAGTAGAAGGCGTTGAGAAAAAACAAACACGACCAAAAAACTTTGATGGTTTTAGCAAACAAACTAACTGTACTTTGATTAAGGAGCCATTTATGTACAAGTATCTACGAAAGATCAGTCGAATAATTAGTAATGTGCTAGGATGTTGTAATGACACATTCAACGCGTAATTAAATATATAATTTAGTAAAGGATTTTTCATTTTACTTGGCATACTATGCTATGCAAAGCATTATTGCGTTAAATTACATAAAAAATATGTCAAATACATTTCCAGTTGTAAAATGAACGACTAAATTTTTTTTCTAACTGTTATTGATAAAAAAACATTTATAGTTCGCTTTGTGTGTTTGATTGAGTAGTGAATACAAAGGAGATAATTAAACTAACTTCTAATTAAAACAAATTATAATTTACTTTCCATACTGATAATCTTAGATAACGCAGATTTTACAAAGGATACGAATAAAAGAATATGATATAACATAATGTATGTCGGATTTTATTAATATGGCCTGATATCATATCGCAAAATTTTAAATTAACAAGTTTAATAACTTTCAATTCGACCAATTCATTGGTTTTCGTATTTACTAGTTGCCTTGAAATTCATTGAGTTAACACCTATAAACACGTGAATAAATATTCAAAAAAACATATAACGTTTCTATATTGCTGGGCCGATACATGTTGCAACATAAGGGGTATTTATTTAAGTGATTAAATAGAGGAGGTTGGCTCCGGGCCAACATATATAATCACTTGTTCATCACCAAAAAAAACCCAGCGGACCAGAAGAGTGTGTTTAGTCAGATGATATGCTATAAGGTGATAATTAAACTAACTTTTAATAAAAAAAAGTTAGATGATATGTTATAAGGTGATAATTAAACTAACTTTAATAAAAAAACGAGTCACCAGATTTTTAAATAAATTTTTTTAGTCAAAAAAAAAATACGACAATATACATGGTAACAAGGAAATTTTGATATTTTTTTTTATTTTTTATTTAAATGATTCTTTATTTAAAAACCACATCCAGTTCATCTACCACCTCACAATGGAAATTTTGATAATACCCCTAAAATATGCGTAGAATACTACTAATCATATTCATTATGATTTGTTTGATAAACTCATCGAATGATGATGACAAAGTTGATATATCTGTGAACGCACACCAAAACGATAACCTTATTTTGCTTGCAAACGTGGCATTAATGAGCGATTTGGAAGCTAACGAATCACGGGAGTTTAACATACCTAGGATAGAAT